AAAGAAATAGCCACACTCGCATTGCCATGTGAAATAAACGACGTTATTGTTGGACACACTGGTTAACACGGTACCTGTGTCGAGGGACAAAGCGTGCAGCAAACCATTATCGGTCAAATAAACCAAATAGGAGTCATCATTTGTAAATGAGAAGTGCGTGACCTTTTCAATAGCACGTTGAGGCGTTTCATGGTCACAGGAGAGCTCTCCATTTCTTTTTCGCAAGATATGATTTTTTTGAAAACCATTGGCCTCTAGCACCCATTTTCCTCCTGGTGAATGGCAAATGAGAATATCTTCGTTGACTATACTTTCAACATCGTGAAGTCCTTCTAGAAAATTCGTGTACTCCTCATACTTAAATGATCCGTGTAAGAACTCTCCAACCAAGTAAGGGTTCATCTCCATAATTTCTTTCTCCAATACTCTGAGATATAGCTCCCATACTCCATTTCCAATCCCTCTCCCATACTCTCGACTCCTCGCGCTATAAGCCATAGAAGTGTTTCGGACTCGATCCAGCTCACGTTCAAGCCCTTGTTCGAGTTGCTTTTTTAGTTTGCTTGTCAACATATTCAGCCTCAGCCAGCGGTATTTCTTCATCATCAAATTCTCTCTACCTTGGGGCATAAGCTCATTTTCCACCCATGCCGTCCAACATTGCGCACCTTTGACCTCATGGTCTCTCTTTCTATTTAGTTCCATCTCCATCTCATGTATAAGCTCTGGTTTCCTCTCTTTTAAAGTCTCGAGCTTTTTCTTCGATTCCTCTATTTCCCTTTGTTTACTTCCATAGAAAAATCCTATCAAATCCTCCGTAGGCAGTTGATAGGATTTAAATTTTCCCTCAGTTGTTGAAAATATCTGGGACAGTTGGAAATCATCCACTAGGCCTTCCATTATCCGATCAAACTGTCTTACACTTGGTTCACTATTAGAGGTCACTTCATCATACAGTCTTCCTTCTTTTATAAGTAAGCTCTCAAGCTCCTCCTCAGCTGTCAGATTTACCTCAAGCTGCTCGAGCTCATGGAATCGGTTTCTCACCCACGCCAATTCTGTACTAGTCAGCTCACCCTCACATTTAGATAGCAACGTCCATGCTTTCCAGGTTTCAGCTATCCATTCTCTCCCCAGTTCCTGCTCACGGTTTACATGTACGTCTTTTCGCTTATGCTCTAGCTCACGGTTGCGTTCAATCAGAAAAGCAACTGGGTTCTCTTTACGCTCCTGCAGCTCTCCCTTCCACCGACGTTCTTGATCGAGTACAAACTTCAGCACCTGGTAATCTCTGTACTGCATTTCATGTGGTGACCCACGCTCTCGTTCAAGTAGGAACTCCAGCTTCTGTTTGAAATTCGACTCCTCTTGATCGAGCTCCTGTCTCCGGTGTCCGGTTTCCAGAATCCGCAATAGTTCCTCTAAACAAGCTATCTTATTCTGCGACTCATGCACTCGATCAACTGGCAACTTCAGCCCTTTTTTCAGCTTCACCTCCGGTTGATCGATTTCCAGACCTGGGTTTCTTCCAATCAATTCATACTCCGGCACGCACCCTCGTTGTAGTAACAACTCCACTTCTTCCCTTAACTTTGGTTCCAAGTGCTTCACCTCCAAGCTCAGTTTTTCCTCCAGCCCCGCCATACATTCTCGTATAAACGCCACATCAAGAATCAGTGCCCTCTTCAAACGTACTAGAAAAACTATCTCATCCTTCGATGCGTGCCCTAGTTCGGCCTTCAACTTCTTCCTCAGATCCATTACTTGTTTAAATTTACTCTTTACCTCATACTCTAGTTTTTCTTGCTTCAGTTCTCTCTCTTCCCGGAGTACTGCTCTCTGCCAGCTCTCCAGCTCATCCTTCAGCTCAAAGTTTGTTTTTACTATGCTCTTCACCTTATGCTCAACAGTCACATTCTCAAACTCTTTCATTCGTCTCAGTACACTTTCAATGCTGAGGTTCACTTTCCACTTTAGCTCTTCAGTCAACCCCAGAACCATGTCTCTCTCCAGCAGATCTTCTAGTAGGTCCTCCACTTTGTCGGTACGATCGTCCTTGAGGCGTGGAATCTGTGCTGGCTTCAAATCCATGGGTGGTTCCCGCTGAAGTATGAGGCTCAAACGTCCCTCTAAGTATCGAATAGCTGTTATTATGGCAATGTTACAAACTGAAAAATCAGAGCACGCTATTTCCATTGCCCATCTGTTTAAAAAACACGACACATGACAGACGTAAGTAAACGACTCCAGCTGAACATCCCGCATCAACGCACGTTCCAACACGGGCCTTCCAGTCTTAAGATCCCAAATCTGGCATGGGAATACAAATGGGTAAATATTTATGATTTCTCGACGAACCGCTGTTAGGGATGCCTCTTTGTACCCTTTGTCTGTAAGTCAACTTAATCAAGGACAAATACGGCACCAACCTAGCGGACATTTTGGCTTCACATGAGGCTCAACTAGGTTTGTCTTGAATGAGAGACATT